GATCTGCAGTTCAATTGGTAACAGCTTCCACGGTGGGAAGGTTGTTAAAGGGTGAGGACCTGGGTTCGAGGAACGCCAGGCGCACCAATAGCCTACCTGGTGGACCATGAAGGCATGTGGGCCAGGAGAGAGCCTACATGCGCAGATTGGGTCCACAGGAGAGAGGTTAGGGTCGATGCGCTGCAGCGCTGTAAGGTTGCCATGTGGCTGGGTGTGCCATGTGGCGGAATCCCACAGGGCGGGTTGTTATAAGTTGTACTAAATATATCCATTTGTACCGCTTGTATAAATCAAATTGTATTTCGTAAGTCCAGTTATACTAAAATCTTTGTTTCACCATATATCAAAAGCAACAAGAACAAATTAGAGAAGCTTTCCAAAACCTTAAGAGAAAGCACATTAGAGAGATGTTTAACTATTTGAAGAAATATTTGAATTGAAAATCGATTCACTTTTACGCTTAGCTCGGTGCATAGCGGTGATGATAGGTGTTACAAGTGACAAGCAACGCGTGACACAACATTGATGCTCTAATCAGTGATAAGACTCTGTTGTGAAGGGTAAACCTTTAGCCGACGAGTGCGAAAGTTGAACCCGAAAGCTGTGGCGCGCGGTTTGGGATCACGTTTTGAAAAAGGAGCTGAGGGTTCTCGTTGTAGTAAGTGGGAGATGACAACAAACCTTAGCTCATTACTTTTTGCAATTGAAAATTTATGATCTTAGAAAAACTATGTTTTCTTAAAGAGGTAAATCGTACCCTTTCATAAAAGACAGTGAGGGATCTTGCTTGGAGTTTATATTGATACCGATTATGATGTAAACAATCTCCACTGTTAACAAAATTTGATGGAAGGTCTGATTCGAGGATTCTAAGAGAAGGAGTTGGGGGAAGAATGCATAGAAGCAGAAATGTGAAGAAGAAAATGAAGTTTTTTCTGGGTTTTATCAAAAATAATAATTAAAAATAGTTATTAGAGTTGGTTGGGATGGATAACCCCAAAGAAGCCTAGTTGGGACGGTAAATAACCTAAAATACAGTAAAACCTTATAAATTAATAATGTTGGGACTACAAAAATTTATTAATTTATAGTGATATTAATTTATAGTGGTATTTTAACTTTTTTTTTTTTTTGAAATTATGAATTGGGACAATTTTACAAAATTAGATTAATTTTTAAGATTATATAAATTTTTGTAGTTTAGAATTGAATTCTATATTTATATATAAAAAAAATAACAATGAATTAAAAATTTTATAAATAAATCTGCTTCTATACAAAGTACATCCATAAATTCAAATTTATGATTAATACCTCAATTGTTATCTTTTAACATCCTATAAAACAAACAAAAAATGAATATGATGCATATTTATAAATAGAAAACATTAAAACAAATTCACTTACTTTATGATGTTATGTAATATATTATAAGATTATAGTTTAAAAATATAACATAATCTTTTTTATAAAGATGAGCTCTAGGAGAAATTCATTTTTAGAAAAAACTAAAAGCATATTTCAACATAATTACTTAACCAAAATAAAAGCATACAGTAAAACCTCTATAAATTAATAATGTTGGGACTACAAAAATTTATTAATTTATAGTGATATTAATTTATAGTGGTATTTTAACTTTTTTTTTTTTGAAATTATGAATTTATGTTATTATTGGGACTATATTTACATAAGGATTTCAAAAAAACTTATTATCTTATTATCTTATCGAATTTGGTTAATTTTTACACTGGCCCGACTTGGGACCAGCAAAATTTATTAATTTATAGTGTTTATTAATTTATAGAGTATTAATTTATAGAGGTTTTACTGTATAAAGGGTCAAAAAGCCTTTGACTTGTTTTCCAATAAAAAGAAAATATAAAGTAAATCATTGTTTATAATGAAGGTATATGAGAAAAGTTTTTTGGGTCAAAGGGTACACGAGACTAAGAACCTTAGGCCATCTCCAAAAGCAAGTACTTAACAAAAATTATATAGGTTGTAAAAGTTTTAGTTGATTAAAAATAAATTAATATGTTATAAAATAAGAAAGGGTGATGCTTAATGAAGGGGTTTACGGATATTAGTCATGTACTCTCCTCGTTGAACCACGAGACATGCCTAGAGGTGTCAAACGGCCCGGTCCGCGTCCATATGGGCCTACCCGAGACAAACATTACTTTTTTAGACCGCGACGGGCCAGCCCGCTAGGACAGGGTATCAAATTTGTGGCCATGCTCGCCTCGCCCGACGGGATAACGGGCAGACTCGCGTACCTATAATTAATATTTTTAAATTAAATAAAAATAATAATTTTATTCTAAATAAATTAAATAATTAATTTAAAATTTTAAATAACTTTTAAATCACTATCTTTACATTTTTATTTACTTTTAAGCATTAAATTTCTTTTTTATTACATATTTCACATATGAATTTTTTTACAATTATATAAAAATATTTATTTATATATAATATAATTCTCAATTTTTGAAGCCAGCGGGCTGGCCCACCAATCCGCAGACATAACCAGCTAAAATCCGTAACCTGTTTGGGCTTGTCCGCTAGACCTGCTTTTTAACGGGCCTAAGATATATCTGTCCATGTCCGCCCGCCATGGTACTACTTGGGCCAAGCCTTCGGGCTAGTGGCCCGCTTGACACCTCTAGTCCGCAGGCTTGCGAAAACAACACGGCAATTACGAACCGTCTCAAGTAAATAGGTCATGAAATTGATGAGTCGGGAGAATTTTTTATTTCAACGCGACAGTCTTGGTTTAGTTTATGAATTATCTTCATCTCCGACAATCGAAACGACTCAGTGATACCTACGTTCGAATATAAGATATCATAGGAAACCTCTCCAACTACTGAAGCAGAATGCTAATACAATTCCCAGTCAAACACAATTCATGTGGCTCCTCGAAATATAGGACTGAAACAAATGGACATGTAGCTTGCTCTAATAGTTATACTAAATCGTAGAAGGGTGTTTATTCCACAAATTAATATAACCAGAAAAGAAAGCTATGTGCTCATTGGTTGCGGACCAATATTTTGAGGAGCCATAAGGATTGTATCTGATTATGGACTGCATTTCACCTTAAGCTCTAGAAGTTGGAGAGATATATGGTATTTCCTACTCGATCGCCAGTAACACAACATGAGGTCTGCCTCTGGAGTTCAGAAGCTCACTTTATGAATCATATTTAACGTCGACGATTGAAACGACATAGTGTTACCTACGATCGAATATGAGAGATCATAGGGACCTCTTTAACTATTGACGCAAAATTCTAATATAATTCACAGTCAAATACAATGCATAAGGCTCCTCAAAGTATTGGACTACAACAAAGGGGCATATAATTTGCTCGGCTAGTTATATTAAATCGTTGAACGGTGTTTATTCAACAATTTAATATAACTAGAAGAGAAAACCATATGCTCATATGTTGTAGTCCAATATTTTCGAGGAGCAACAAGGATTGTATTTGATTATGAATTGTATTGGACCTTCTGCTCCATAAGTTGAAGAAATCTATGATATCTCATACTCAATCGCAAGTAACACAACATGAAGTCCTTCCCTAGTGTTTAGAAGTTCACTTTATGAACCCTATTCATTTGGTTCACAAAAAAAAAGAAATGAATCCTATTCATCTCCGACGATCGAAACAAGATAGTGTTACGTACGATTGAAGATGAGGTATTGTAAGAGGCCTCTCCAGATACTGAAGCAATATGCTAATACAATGCACAGTCAAATACAATGCATGACGCTCCTCGAAATATGAAACTACAACAAATGGACATATAGCTTGCTCTTCTAGTTATATTAAATCGTAGAAGGATTTTATCTTCAATTTAATATAACCAGAAGAGAAAGCCATGTGCTCATTGGTTGCGGTCCAATATTTTGAGGAGCCACAAGGATTGTATATGATTATGAACTGCATTGCACCTTCTAGTTCAGAAGTTGGAGCGTTATATGATATCTCCTACTCGATCGCAAGTAATTTACACTTTGATATTTGGATATTCAAAGATGAATAGGATTTCGAAAGCGAGCTTCCAAACTCTAGAGAAAGATTTCAAGTTAGTTTCTAACTATTTCATGAGCGAGTCTGCTACATGGAAATGGAAATTTCCATACGCAGCGAAAAAATGATGAAGAAGATGTTAATGAAGAAGAATAATCATTATATCATATCCATTGTAAGGAGTTCATTTGATGGTAATCCTACTGAATTTAACTTACAAAAAACATTTTTTACATATATTTTAATAATTCATCCATCTAAGTAAAATATATATATATATAAAAATTTCAAGGAAATATATTTATAAAAACTTCAAGGAAATATATTTATAAATTATATTTATCATACGTATATATATATATATATATATATATATAATATATATATATATATATA